CCAGGGGCTAGGTTTGGGTGGCACTAGCCCATTCCGCACCAGTTGCTGAAACGGTTAAGCGACAGCAGTTGGTGGAAAACGACTGGTGCGAACGATATGCCGTGTCGCTAGCTCGCTTCGACGCTGCTGAAAAGCGTTGTCAGGTTGGACGGGGTCTTGAACAGATCGCATAAGGAATTTCACTGAATGAATTCGATGTCTGGTATGTGATGGCTCAGCTAACTCACTTTCTTTCAGCTCCGTCCAGTTTTCAAGGAAACAGTTGTCTACTTGACAGGTGGCTTCAGGACGGCACCAGCGATGGTCAGTGCTGTCCTTGATGGAACAACCGATGGTATAGGACTAGGAAGACCAATTACTGCAGAGCCTGGTTAGTATCCAGCGCAGATTCATCCGTCATTTATTGTTATGTCTTGCAAGATAGTTTTCAGATTTACCGGCTAAAATTCTTCGCGGTGAATGTTTATCAGCTCCTGATGCAAAAGTCAACCAAGACGACTACATGATCACTTCAACAGCTAGTAACATGCAAATGGGACAAATGAGTAAACAACCTTCCAAGGATTTGAAAACGTAAGTCTCACTGTTGCATCCAGTGGTTTTGATTATTCCCCTGCTGTTTATAGGCGTTTTAGCTGCAGACGCTGCGGCCGGTCAGGAAGGGAAGGTGAGCTGGCTGGATTTGGCGCAGCGCCAGCTGGTAGTACATCTCTAGAGTATGCGCTGATGTTGCGCAAAGCTCATTTCCATTGACAAGCCCCAGCATCCGCAGCGAAAACAACTGTGAAATGCTCGCCCGATGTAGAAAATGAACAGGGCTTGGGTTCCTTTTCTTTGTTTATTTTTCAGTGCTAATCCAACAGGTACCTGGAAATTCATATTTGAACCCCATCATTTACGAATTTCTTTTCGCAATATGTCTTATTTTCATTTAGTATATGTGATGGAATTGCTGATCTCAGTCATCCGGAGGAAGCGGAAAACTTCAAGAAAGCATCAGCCGTATACTTCGATCATATGAAAGAGATCGCCGAACGAAATGAAGCTATACACGGCGTTATGGAGTACAACAATATCGTTTCATAGGTGTTTCGTTGTAAATATTTGCTGCATGCTTTCTCACATAGAACTTTCAGAGAAGTTTGTAAGAAAATCACATCATTTTTCTCACCTGTCGTTTTGCACATGATCTGTCGTGTCTTTTACGATATTTTTTGACGTATGAGCCCCTCTTTAATTTCAGCGTCGCGAACGTTCCTTAGGAACAAACCTAATTTTTCGTTTCATTCTACTTTCAGCTGCTTGCATTGTTTTTGCCCTGCTTGTTATGTTCTGTGTTGTTAGCCGCAAGAAAAAGAAACAACGCCGCTCTCACCTGCTTTTGTTAGCGCCCGTCACTAAGCATTCGCGTGAAAAGATGCGACTCCTATCTCTGAAAGTAGAGTAATCACTACTAGATTAACTGGTTTCAAGAATGACTGGTAATTGCCGTACTATAGTGTCACTTTCTCCGGTCAAAAGTGCAAGGGAACGGGGCTGCAGGACAGTGAAACGCAGGCCCTTCTCCTCTGCCCGCGCTACCACATGGCCAGCCACCTGACCATGGGAGACGTGCAAGAGAACTGCAAAATGCCGCTTCGTCGCGCGCGGCATGGAGCGCGACGTTTCCTTAATTTGCACTACCCTTTCGATTGGAGCATCGGATTTCATGTAGACAAGGACATGGTAGACACTTATGTCTATTTTGGTCATACATTGTCTATTCTCGACCAGTACCACCTGAAATCGTCGTCATTAGCGGGCGCAACGTCGCACGCGACGCCCACTGGCGCGGCGAATCAACGATTCTCTTGCCACGTAATCCCTGACCATAGCCAAACGCGCTGCTTGTCTGCGCCCCCTCACTTCTGGTTGCTCTCTACGCTGAGTGCCTGTTTCGCTGCAGGGATCTTGGTATCGACGCAAAGGCTGAACTTCGAGGATAGCGCGGGAGGAGACGACACCAGTTGGAGACTGCACCTGGGTATCACTATCCTTCAGCCCCATTTCCGTGCTTTTCTGAGCAGATAACGTGGCCGCGTTCGTACGTGACGACTTTGAAGAAGTGACGAAACTGCTGATGGGAGAAAGTATAAAGCATGGACATGAAGAACCGTGGAATCGAGAGAAACACAGAATCCGCAGAAGAAGGGAAGCACAGGTATTGGTTTTCAGAAATGACGGGTCTGCGGAAATGCAGAATTGCAGAATCTGCAGGAATGCTGAAATTCCGCAGAAGCGGCATTTTTCCCGGTGACGGACCTAGCAATCAATCCCTGTCAAGTCTTTGACCGTCATTCCAGCGTTCCTGCAGATTCTCTTTTCTCGGGATTCCATGGTTCTTCAAATCGATACGCGTACTTTCTTCTACCCGTAGAGCACTCCTTGTACGTGATCATGTGTGAATGCGGCCCATCTGATTTCTCGCGTGATTCGCATCAGTGTTGGATCATTTTTTGGCGTCCTGGTGTATTGGTTCGGAGTTTTGTCGCAATGAAATGGTCAACTGTCCCTGTTTGTCATCATCGTCATTCATTTGGATGTTATAAGTCATCATTATGGTCGTTGCCGCCATGTTCTTCGACTATGTTTACTCGCCTTTCCCGCAAGACGATGACATTTCTGTTAACGTCGTAAATTGATCCGTGGCGGTTGAGTCGATATGTCAGTGATAAAGGGCAGCGCTCACTCCCAGACAGTTCAATAGGTTGCTCCTTTGCCGATCAGTTCGTACGTTTTTCTAAAATGCCTACAGTTTATGCTCGTTTACCTGCCGAAAGCGTGGATGTTTCGATATTGGGAGAGCAACTGAAGTTTCGCAATGGTCGCACGGCAAAGAATAGATTTCTTAAGGTGAGTAGATTGTTTCTATTTCTTATTTCTTGACGTTCAAAGTCAATTTGTCTCTCGCTGACTGCAGCGGTCATTTTGTTTGACTTATTGCAGAAACATCCGTTGTTAAGGGCATTTGCGTTAAGTAAATCCATGCGCAGTGCAAGGTACGCGCACCTTTTAGTGTGGTTCGTGCACTTGGGGAGCAATGCTGGTAACTCGGGCGAGCAGATAGGCACCAAGAACTTTCCCGAGAAGTCGTGAAGATTTCTGATATTGAACAGTACTTCTAATGATGAAGTGGGAGTTGACATCC